AAACACATCACAGGGACCCCAAAACATGCAATAACCCCATAAAAAGTATATCCTTGGAACCGGGGTATCTGGGTGAACCACATATCTAAAATTCACCCAGATCCGTTCAGTACTTTGGAAGAAACAGTTTAATGCAGATTCTGCAGAACATATACAGGCTAAATGAAAAACAATCACTGTATAATGTGTCCCCTGCTGTATAGTCCAAAACCACTGCACGATGTCTCTGTGCACCAAATACTGGCGAGGTGGCACCGTGTTGAAAAGTCCAAACAGTGTCTGTGAGTTAAAATGGCCGCCATCCATTGTTCTCACCATGTGCCTCTGATACAGGAAATGGTGGCCACCCAGTAACTCCACAGTATGTCCCCAGATGGTTCTTAAAGGGCCAGCAGCAGCACAACACAAATCCATTATGCCCAAATCATGTCTTTAAAGGGCAATACATCCCAGGGGCCATAGTCACATGGCAGGAGGCTGGCAATCAGTCTTCTCCAATGCCCAGTGGCTAGGTCGGTTTCGCCACAGTCGTTATGCACGATTTGGGGTATTATCTTGGCTAGCCTATTCACTATAAGTTTGGCATATAACTTGGTATTACAATTCAATAAGGATATGGGTAAAAAATTAGGACACTGTGTGGGAGGTTTACCTGGTTTCGGTAGTGTGGAAATATGGGCTTTTAGCATGTCATTAGGCATGCTGCCTGTTCTAAAGCAGTGATTAAATAGGTCCGTCATATAAGGAGCCAGGATGTGTCTAAACGTGTAGTAATAAAGGTTAGTGAACCCGTCGGATCCAGGTGATTTATGTTTTGGTAACTGTGTTATGGTTTGTAGGACTTCTTGAGTCGTGAAAGGTTCGGTCAGTTTTTGGCCTTCTTCAGGCAAGAGGGATGGAAGCTGGACATCTCGTAAAAAGTCATCAATGTCACTTTGCCGGGGTGTGGGGAGATCTCTGACCTCTGCCAGGTTATACAATTTGCTATAATATTTGCTGAATTCTTCCACTATATCTTGTGGATTGGTAATCTTATGTACTGCTTCTGAGTGGAGGAAGGCTATTTTTGACATCGGCGTCTTTGCCTTGAGTTGGCACGCTAAAACTTTGCCAGCCCTGTTACCCTCTTTAAAAAATGTATGTTTCATTTTGGTGAGGAGATATGTAGTCTTAGCTAGATCCATGTCTTTTAACCGGGCTTGGAGTTGGAGAATTTTTGTTGTTGTGTCATAGGAAGGAGACCTCTTGTTAGTATGCGTGAGTGTGGCCAGTTCGGTTAGGGTGTTGGTATATGTTAGAAGGAGTTGTTTTTTATTATAGCTAGCATTTAATAAGTTGGCCCCTAAGGACTGCTTTGTGTGCCTGCCATAGAGTTTTCACCCCTACCTCCTCGGTATTATTGAGAGAAAAATATGTCTCTAGGTCTGCTTTGAGTTGTGTGATCAGAGTGTGGTCTGTCAAAAGAGTGTCATTGAGACGCCAGTTTCTTCTGCCAACTACAGGGTGTTGCATGGTGGTTGTCAGTAAGATGGGGGCATGATCAGACCATGTAATGTCTCCTATATATACTTTTGTTATTTGTAATGCCTGTGATTTGGGAACCAAGAATCGATCTATACGAGAGTATGTTGTGTGGCTATCCAAGGGATGGAATGTCCTCCATATATCTAGAAACCCATGATCTAGGAGTGTATCACCTATTATTTTTGCAGAACGTGCCCTTTGCTTAGATGTAGTTTCTTTGATCTTGACGGCAGAGGTGGAATCTAGGTTTGGATCGAGGAGGAAGTTCGTGTCACCGAACTTATGTGATATCGCCGAACTTATGTGCAACGGATAGAGTGAGAACCTTATCCAAGAAGGCCTGTTGGTCCGTGTGTGGGCCGTAGACATTAACCAGGGTGAATTGGGCATTGTTAATTACACATTGTAATATGAGATACCTCCCATCCCTATCGCCTATTCTTTTTATCAATTGGAAAGATAGATCTTTGCTTATCAAGATTGTCACCCCTCTTTTCTTTGATTTCTAAGTACTGTGAAAACCCAGTGGAAAATGTTTAGAAGAGAACTTCGGTTAATTTCTTTTTTGGAAATGGGTTTCTTGATAAAACGCTATATGTGTGTTATATTTTTTTGCTTCTAAGAGTGCCATTCTGCGCTTGTGGGGTGAGTTTAAGCCTTTAGTGTTTAAGGAAAATACGTTGAGTGCCATTACAGTTGTGTGCAATATTCGTAGTAAAACGCTTACAGAACAGGAGAGTGGTCAGGTCCATGAAGTATAGATAGTGTCTACTGTTGTGATGGTAGATCGCCAGGTACATATCTGGTCGCCTATGTGTTTTGTGGGGTGTATCTTGTGTGGTCAGTATTACTGGGGGGCTGTCCCCAATAGTCGTCAGTGGGCTAATTAGTGAGAGAGAGGTTACATTCTCTTTACATTCCCTCAGACGTGCAAAGAAGAAATCATAAAAAAGGGGGAAACAAAAAACATATAACCAATAGTGATGTTGCGAACCCGAAATTTTCGGTTCGCGAACGGCGAACGCGAACTTCCGCAAATGTTCGCGAACCGCCCGAACCGCCATTGACTTCAATGGGCAGGCGAATTTTAAAACACACAGGGACTCTTTCTGGCCACAATAGTGATAAAAAAGTTGTTTCAAGGGGACTAACACCTGGACTGTGGCATGCCGGAGGGGGATCCATGGCAAAACTCCCATGGAAAATTACATAGTTGATGCAGAGTCTGGTTTTAATCCATAAAGGGCATAAATCCCCTAACATTCCTAAAT